AGCTTTCGTGAAGTTCACAGTTTAATGGGAGAAGACGATGTATAAATAACTGTGTACAAACAAGCTATAGAAAGGACACATTGGAAATAACCAACACAATGAAAGCACTAGAATTCAGGGGCTAGGAAAGGCTTGCTGTAGGAAGGGCTACACTGCTAAGGGTGTAGAGAGATAAAAACAGTAACTGCTACCAAGGTGCTCCTATTCTACTAGAGGAGGCGACATCCAAACAATCATCCATTCAAGATATATGCAAATAGGGGCAGGCTGGTAAACGTTGGACAATCAGCCTCTGAAAACCTCAGCACCCGTCTGAGTTTAACCTGCGTTATCAACATTTTCCCATCACTTTCTTAAATCCAGACAAACAAAAGCACAATAAACCAAGCCCTGATGTATACGTTACTGATTTCTGAGATGTGAGTTCTCATACTGCAAATTTAACAATCAGCTCAAACAGTTTAGTGCATTGGAAGTAAATTCTAAGGGAAGATACTTTTCCATTTTTATCGGCAACATTTAGTACAGTGCTTTGCACGTATTAATGCTTTTTCATTCATTCATTCATGAACGAATTACGATAGATGACATCTATGTTCCCAACCAGCTCTAACTCACTCAGTAGCTGTTCAGGCAATGAAGAGCCAAAGAGAAATGTAAAATGCCTTATTAGCAGTCCTTTGAACAGTTTTATGTGCTGATGTTATTTAAGTATCAGCCTCCTGGTAGACTTACCAGGAGTTATAACTTACTGAATCCTGTTTTAAGTTTGTTTTTGTCAAATGTGAATGCCTTGTGGTTGGCATTTCTTCGGTGTGCAGGAGCAATTTACTTGTCTGAGACCTCATTTTAATGTGCATCAAGTACCCTTTACTTCCCCCTTTTTTGGGGGAACCCTGAGATAACCTAAGCTATAAGTGAAACAATTTCAGGGCTCCAGGGAGAACGGGGGACCTAGCTCCATCTCATTAGAAGCCAGGCTCCCGGGGACTGAGCCTGGTTCAAAACACATGCTTAAGATACAACATAGGGAATGGGCTCTGTACCCCAGCCCCCCCATCCTCCCAGTGGTCCCAGTAGGAGTTCCTTAAGGTTAGACTATCAATGAATGATCTGTGTGGGAAAGTTTCTTTAAAAAAAAAATAAATCACAAAATCCTTCACCAGTAGGTGGCAGCCTTTGCTAGCATTCTACGCTTAACGCTGTTCATTGAGATGTGCAAAATGGAATTGAGATACATTTACATTATCGAAGCCAGAGATTTAAATATATAAATATTGGGATAGATCATCAGCTGTGGTGACCTCAGGAGAACTGTATGTAAATACAGCATTGTATTGTGGAAAGTGCACAGAATTTGGAGTCTGATGACCCGACTTCCAATTTTACCTTTGCTCCTTAGTGTCAGTGAAGAAGGGTAAATCATATCCTATGGGCCTCAATTTCCTCACCTGTCAAATGAAGGAGTTGGACTCAACGACTTCTAAAGTCTCATCCAGTTCTGTAGTTATGATCCTATGAAGAGATGAATAATTTGCATGGCACTGTTCTTTTGCACTCAATAGATTTCATGCATGGACCGAGTCTGTAATCAGAGGGTGGAAGGTTGGTTGGATTATCAAAAGAAGGAAACAGGGAATTTAACCTCCAACTTCAATTCCTGTTATTTATTATTTAATGAATGAATGAAAAACCGTGTATTATTTGCAAAGCACGGTACTGTTTTAAATGCAATTTAATGAGTTATAGCAAGAACATGGTACTCCTGAGAAGTTCCTGCTTAATTAACACCATCTAGAGTGGTCTGATACCATGCTTATCAGCCTTATCAATTCTGTAGCACACTTATGAATTAATCCACTTGTGAATTTAAATGGAATAGCCAAATCATTTCTTGGAATTACCCCCCCCCACCATAAGACAGGAAACACCCAGTTCACTTTTGTTTTATATTTATTAATGAGAATTTATTATGACAGAAATAAAATGGTATAGTAGGGAAAACCCCCCAGCAGGCTTGTACTCATATGGTCTCAATGGATCAGTCAACTCATTTTCATCAAATATCTATAATGTTCCAGGAACTGTGGCTAAGCAGCAGGGATAAATGGAAGGAGGAAAAAACCCAAAACAAAACCTCAGGTTCTCTGTTTACCATTGTGTAACTGTGCACAGGCCACTTAAATTCCACAGGAAACTAAGTGAAATAAGATTTATTCCTCCTTGAGTTTCAGTTTTGTCTATAAAATGGAATGCTAGGATCTTTTGCTTATAACTCCTTTACAAGGCTATTAGGCCAAAAGCACTTTGTCAATGAGAAATGAGTTACATAGAAGACTCTTAAGTTTCATGAGAGGGGGAATACCAGCTTATAGTATGAACTTTGTAGAAGCCCCAAGGAATAGAAGATGTTTGCTCATTTCAAACCTTTTCCAGATAGATGTCAAGTAAAAAGTTCCTTCCTGATTCCTAACACAGAACTCCTATTCATATGCATAGGGGTAGTGGCTGTTTATTACTTGCCCTCCTCAGGATACCTCGATACTGGAATCACTTGGTCCTCCGTTAGGGTGCTAATAGTGAGAAGAAATCTTGAATTCTTGGCCAGAGAGGACCTCATCATTTCCTGGCCATTTCCAGACACCCTCCCCCTTCCTTCCTAACTTCCCTCTATTTCTAGCTTCTTTTTATATTGTCTTCTCCTTGATGGCAGGACTATCTTGCTTGTTTATATCTGATTCCCCAGAGTTTAGCACAGCACTACAGTAAGTTTTTAATTAATGTTTTTATCACTTATCCTTCATCCGTTGTTGCGTCCAAGTTATCTCCTTGTCCCACTTCCTGACAAATATATTCCCTAAATGACCTATTTGGACACTGTGACTCCTTGGGGTCATCCTACAATAAAACTTCTATGGACATCCTCTCCAACCTTTATGAATATCCCAGTCCTTCCTTTCAGGTGTGTAATACGAAAACCTTGACCTGTTCTTCGACAACCCTAAGTTGGTCCTGTTCCAGTATTGATAATGAGCCTTCTGGTCATCGCTTCAGTGTTTATGTTGCATATTTGGAAAAAAGTACACACGTTCATAGACTCAGCTGCATCTATCTTTCTGTCAACACTTGTGCACGGAGAGGGAAGTTTTTCGAAAGCTTACTGTTTGTAAGGAACTTTAAAAAATACAAGTTGATTTTTCAAGACCTTTTAAAATTTGTCTATAATGTCTATAATATAAAATTCCTTCGTACCATCCATTTTCTGAAGACCATTTGTCACACGTTTCATCTGCCTGAAGATTTGTAAGTTACACACAACAAAATGGTTAAGCACAAATGGAAAAAAAAGACCCCCCCATCTGGTTTTTTTGACCTACTTCAAAAGAGCCACCCTGGTCACCTGAGTACTTTAGACATGATGCTATTTGAGGGAAGTAAAAGGCACAATGCAGTGTTAGGATAGACAATAACAGCCTGGAAAAACCTTTGACTTTATTCAAAGATTACTCCTTCCGTGCACCTCGGTATAGTTTTTGTGGAAACGGGAGGATTCTTAATGCCTTGTGGGAAAAGAACTCCTCAGAACCGGTGTCTCTGATGTCCAGGGATCAAAGAGACTCTTGGCCGGGCTGCAGAACTGTGATCATTTAGAATTGCACATCCTTTTTAGAAACATCATCGAGTGGCCCAGGGGGTCTAGCAGAAGTGCCTTGGACTCGAGGGAGTTTTATTTGGCTGGGTTTGAGCTTTGATTCCCACACTGACTAGGTGTATGACTGTGGGTAAGTTGTTCAATTCGGGGTGGATATATTCGTAATTTCTGAGAATAAGATCAGAGTAGAATGAAAATTTCTGGCGGGCTGGGGGCGTTATACACATACGTTTTTGCGTTCCCAGTCATTTGGAAAAATCAAAGGGAGAGCCCAGAGCTTAGCACAATGCTTAATAGATCCTTACTGACTGACAAGTTTTTGATAAATGTTTCTTAAATGAACTTAAGTGACTTGATCAAGCAGTTACTAAAAACTTGATAATCTAAGTTAGCAGAACAGAATAGAAGATAAAGAGTTACGGCGCCCTCTCAGGACTCCACAAGTCTCAAGAAGTTTTCATTCTAATGTTAATTCTAATATTAATCTATTTTTTTCCTATTTCCATGTTAAAGTCAACACTTCCCTCCCCTTATCGAAGTCCTTTTCTCATTAATTTCAATACCAGGGTCCCCCTTACGGCGCTCCTCATTTATTGTCCCCCTCCATCCACGTTCTTTTCTCGTTTTCTTATTCTTCCTCTCCCCTTTTCTTATTAATACCAATACTAGGGGCCCCCCCATAGCGCCCCTCCCCTTCTCTCCCCTTCCCCAAGCCTTTTTCTCGTTTTCTCGCTCATGTCCACACTAAGGGTCCCCTCATAGCACTCCTCATTTATCTCCCCCCTCCCGCCCCATCCAATCGCTTTCCACCCGGCAGAAGTTCGTGGCTGGGGGCAGTAATGCCTCCATGTGGCCTCGGGAGGGGGGGTGGGGTGGGGGCGGGGCAGGGGAAGGTGCCCCGGCTCCGCGCGGGCTGCGCCGGCGGGGGGGGGAGGGGCAAGGGAGTGGCGCCATGTGCTCCAGCTCGGTCCGCAGAGCAGCGCGGGCGCCCGCCCCCCACCCCGGCCGCTATAGGGCGCCACAGCACCGCCGGAGCGCAGCCCCCTCCCCAGCCCTCCCCAGCCCCAGGTCGCGCGGTGGGCGGGGCCTAGAGCGGGAGGGGGAACGCGCGCCCCGCACCTGTAGGAGGTGCGCGACCCCGCCCCCGCCCCCGGCGCCAGGCTCGGGATACAAAAGGGCGGGCGCAGCCGCATCAGCCGCACCGCCGCCGCGCCTCCCGGCCTCGTCCCTCCCTCCCTCGCTCCTCCCTCCGTCCCTCCCTCCTTCCCAGACCACCGGCCCCGCTGTGCCGCCGCACTCCCGCCGTTCCGCCGCTGCCGCCGCCGCTCCGCACGCACCCGGCCGCCGCATGACCAGCGCGCCGCACCAGCGCCGCTCTGCCGGCCCTCCCGCCGCCGCCGCCGGCCCGGGCGCCGGGGCCGGCCCGGGGCCCGACGAGGACTCCGAGTCCCGGGAGAAGATGCTGCGGCGGCGGAACGGCGGCGGCGGCGGCGGCGGCGACGGGCGCGGGGACGACGAGGGCGTGACCCTGCAGCGCTCCATCACGCTGCTCAACGGCGTGGCCATCATCCTGGGCACCATCATCGGCTCGGGCATCTTCGTGGCGCCCACGGGCGTGCTAAAGGAGGCCGGCTCGCCCGGCCTGGCGCTCGTCGTGTGGGCCGCCTGCGGCGTCTTCTCCATCGTGGGCGCGCTCTGCTACGCCGAGCTGGGCACCACCATCACCAAGTCCGGCGGCGACTACGCGTACATGCTCGAGGTCTACGGGCCGCTGCCTGCCTTCCTCAAGCTCTGGGTGGAGCTGCTCATCATCCGGCCCTCGTCGCAGTACATCGTGGCGCTCGTCTTCGCCACGTACCTGCTCAAGCCGCTCTTCCCCAGCTGCCCGGTGCCCGAGGACGCGGCCAAGCTGGTGGCCTGCCTCTGCGTGCGTGAGTGAAGGGCCGGGGCAGGAGTGGGGGGAGGCGGCCGCCGGGGAGGGAGCCTCGCTGCCGCCTCCGGCCGGTGAGGACGGGCTAAGGATGAATGAATGATCAGCGCACCCCCAGAAAGTGCCCCCCCGCCGTGAGGGCTGGGTAAGGATGAATGAATGATTAGCGCACCCCCAGAAAGTGCCCCCCCCGTGAGGGCTGGGTAAGGATGAATGAATGATTAGCGGGCCCCACCCCCCAGGGCAGGTTAAGAATGAATGATCATGGCACCCTAGATCCCCTTCCCCCTCCCAGCACCCAATCCCTCATGGCCAGCTGAGAATGAATGAACCAAGGAGAGACAAACGCCTCCATTCCCCCCACCCACCCCCAGCACAGTTAGTTCCTCATAGATGCTGGTGACTAGGCAGCTAGAGAACCGGCTGACTTGGCAGCCTCCCAGTAAGTTACCTGAGCAGTACTGGCTGGCGGACCAGCAACTGAGGGACTTCTGTCCTCCTTCTCTTTTCCTTTCTCCCCCCACCTCCTCCCTCTCCCCTATCCTCCTTCTTTCTCCTCCTCCTCCTCCTTCCCCTCCTCTCACCCCCTCTCTTTCCCCCAGTAAGCTCCCAATAAAGGCCAACTAAGTGACTGACTCACCCCCCCATAATAAATGCTTTCCAAACAACCAATTCCTCCACCCCCATAGTAAAGCTTAATTAAATGCTCCGATGAATGACTGACTCCTTTCCCTCTCTGCTTAATAAATCCTAGTTGACTGATTATCACCCTTCTTCCTTCCCTCTCCACAGTAAGCACTTTATTTGTTCTGTCACTCTCTATCCCATGGATAGCCATGCTTGTGAGATGCCCATGTGCAGTGATTCCACTCTGAGACCCCATCTTTTATCTGACCCTCTGGACACTGCCCCTCAGACGTGTGGTTCTGTGTGGCTGAAGGACCTGATGGATGGATGGAGTAGTCAGTCCACAACCATTTGCTTAATTAAACTCTTAGAGGGGGCCAAGTACTGTGTCTTACGAATCCTGGCTGGGGATGCAAAGACAAGCAGAATAGCCCCTTCTCCTCCAGGAGCATCCATTCTTACAGGAAATAATAAGCATAGAGGAAGAATTCCATTGGCCCAGCCTGGGTCTTCTTCCATGGCAAGGAATGATCCTTGATCATAGATTGGCCCTTTTTCTTTAAACTTTGGCGCTGTTGTAGTCCCCTTAAAATGTGTGGGATACTGCTGCTCCTCTTAGCCTCGAGACACTTGTTCTTTCCTCTTTGCTGTATCTGGATTTTTTGCTCTTCATTCTGCGCCTCTCAGGCCAGTCACCCCATTTACTTCTTATCATGAAGAACGAGGATATAAACCTGATTCTCTCTTACCTTGCCAAAGGCTGCTATAGGGCTCCCTTTTTCTGGAAGAAACTGGCAGGCTTGGTGGGTTTTTTACTGTGTGATGGACAATATTGGTGATTTTTTTTTTGAAGAGAGGGAAACTGGTTTTTTTGGTTTGTTTGTTTTTTGCTTTTGAGCTGCAGAATTTTCTATTCTATTTTAGAGGTAGGTGTGGAAGAGAGAGGTACTGACTGTCCCTGGAAGAGAAGTCCCAGTGACAGTGAGTTTGGTCACCTTTCTACCTGTTCTTCCCGCCTTTAGGGAGGCGGAGGGCTCAAAATCAGCTTGTCTAGACTTGTTAACTTGGGATTTAAGGATAAAAACAACCTTTGTGGTTGTTGATGGTTTTCTTGTCTTAGCTGAGTCTTAGAAATTATCCTAAATTAAACTAAGACATAGATCCTAGTATTTTGTTTGGGGAGAACCAAAGGAAGGCAGGAAAAAAATACAGTGCTGAACATGGGATGTCACACTCCCTTCCTGAGAATGGGGAAAAAACTCCAGACAGAATGGATTTGTCTCAAGGATTTTCTTTCTCTGGAGGCCGTATAGATGGTACTGTAGCCAGGTGCCATAGAATACGTAGGCTTTATTTGGTCATAGGACCTTAGAGGACACTTAGTCCGATCCTCTCATTTGATAGATGAGGAGACTGAGATTCAAAGGAGGTGCTAATAATAATAGCAGCCAGTTATATAGCAACTTACAAATCTCTTTTTATCCTCACAGCAACCCTGGATGATAGGTGCTGTTATTATCTTCTTTTTACAGATGAGGAAACTGAGGCAGAAAGAGGTTAAGTGAATTCCCAGATTCACACAGCCAGTAAGTGTTGGAGAGCATATTTAAACTTGGGTGTCTGAATCTAAGTCCAGTGCTCTATCCACTGTGTCACCTGGCAGACCTCTATGTAAATCCCTATATAAATGATTTGTCCAGCATCTCACAGGTAAGTGACCTGCCTCAGGTCACAAGGGGAAAAAGCTGAGATTTGAACCTAGGTTCTTTGTGGAATCCAGGGCTCTTCAGCTGCAGCATTAACTCTCTGGTCTTTGCAGTTACATGTCCAGTTTCAGGGCATGACCATTTAGGAAGCTCCCAGGCATTCTGAAGAAAAGCCATTCACTCAGGATTGGCTCTTTTGATTGTGCACCCCCTGACAATCCAGTGCTTTTGATTTCCTTCAAAGCTCTGCACATACAGAGTCTACGCCTTTAAGTAGTGTCCAATTTACGTAGCACTAGCGTGTGTGAGGGTGGCGAGGTACTTTGTGTACCCAGGGAGCTGTATAAAAGCTGTATAAAGGGGCCAAAGAGAGGAACATGTAAGGAATTTGGGAGATAGTCGGGGAGTATTTGCTGATTGAAGGGGATGCTTCCTGAGGCTGGGCCTTGGAAGGAACACACAGATTTTGGCAGACGGATGGAGGGAGCTGTGATGTTTGGGTCACTGCTAGGGAGAGCCAGGCTAGACAAGTAGCTGCTTTAAGCTGGGGAGCAGTGAGTCTAGATTAAAGCCCCATGGCTGGACAGTCTTACAGTGCCACAAATCAGAGCTGATGTTTCATTCTAAAGACAGCAGGGAGCCACTGGATGTTTCTGACATGTAATTGTGCTGGTAGTTTTATTTTATTTAATTTTTTTGTTTTAAAATTTTTCAATTCTTTTTAAGGTTGAAAAAGCCTGTATGAAGACCTAAAAAGATAATTGCTAGCATTTATATAACACTTTAAGGTTTGTAAAGTCTTTAGAAATTATCTCCTTGGATCCTCACAATAACCCTTGGAGATGGTTACCATTACTGCTGTCCCCATTTCACCCATGAGCATACCAGTGACTTGCCCAGGGTCCTATGGCTAGTAAGGATCTAAGGCTTAATTTAAGATGTAGCCATCCAAATAAAAAAATCAGCACTCTGGCTGGTAGCAAGTAGGAGTTGTCAGGAAATTTTAGAAAAGACCTGTCAAGAAATTGCAATTGGGTAAAAATGTGGCACTTATTTAGCATTTAAAAATACTGAATGTTTGAAGGAAGAGGAACCCTTCCAGAAGAGTTTGTCTTTATTAGAACTTTAAGATTTTTCTTTCTTTTAGGGATTTCCTGGAAGACTTGTTTTATTTATTCAAATTTTTATCTTCCCCCAAGTAGCATTTAATTTTGATTTCTGCCCATCTCATGACTTGCAGGGCTGTGTCTTTTAAAGAGAATCCAGAAGGTTTTACAGATGGTTTACAGATGTCACCATATTGTGTTATTGCCAAAGAGAAACTAGAAAGAGGTGATCTGGCAAGTCGGTAAACAAGCACCTAGTGGAGCCCCCAGATCTCCATTCCTAATTCTGCCCTCGTCCATGTAGGACTTGCTCCTTCTACGGAAGTCCTTATCTAGCCCAAGACCTAGAGTCTGCCAAATTCTGTAGAATTAGGAATGGTGACTTGGTATTTTAAAAAAAATTATAAATGTTTTACTGTCATTTTCCAATAACACCCCCCCCCCGAACCATCCCTTGTTAACAGATAAGGTCAAGCAAAATTAATCAACATATTTGGCCTTGTTTGATAAAAGCACACTCAGTGTTTGTTTTTGTAATCTATAACACACCCTGTTTCTGCTGAGAGTCAGGAAGCATGTGTACTGATGTGTACTTTGATGGGTCCCAGAAAAAGTACCAGTAGAACATGCTTGACAGAAAAAAAAAATTGTTCTTTTTAAAAATTGTAAGAAAACCACTCCTGATTGTAACTAAAAGACAATGAAAGCATTTGATGTCAAAGCTAAACTTGAAGGTACCACGTCCTTTGTTTTAGTCCATTTGGGGTGCTGAGGTATGCCAGTGTAGTAAGAGGTACGTGATATATTTGGTGGCCCCGAGATATAGAGTAGATGGGAGGATAGAAAAAAAGGTGGTATTTAATTTGATGCTCCAAGGAGAGGTAGAATTAGACAGAAGCATTTCAAAGAGTAAGCTAGGGTGTGTGAATGTAGGGGAGCTGGAAGGGGCCTTAGAGGCTTATTAGATGAAGGAACTGACGCTCAGGGATGTGGAATGACTGCTTAGGGTCAGGATTTGAACCCAGGTCTTTCTCGCTCCAGTGCCTTGTCTACCACCACAGGCTCCTATTCCGACACATCCTCTCTAGATTGGGTTAGCTGGAGGAACTGTCAGATGAGGCTAGAAGAGGGCAGTGGGGCCCCATCATGGAGAGCCTTGATGCCACCGAAAGCTTGTGAGATACAGCCACGGGCAAGGTACAGCTGCTGAAAAGGAGGAGAGTGACATTGAAGACTGGTCTAAAAGTCAGATCCTTAGGCGGGCAGATGAGCGTATGTGTGAGCTTCAGGAGGGGGAAGAAACTTCTGGCTGGCTTGTTCTTGGGCTGCTCTGAATTCTTGGTGCTGTCACATTCTGTGACACTCAGGTACCATGATTGGTTTAGCTACTGCACAGTCCAGAGGCATTTGCTTTGTTCCCAGTAAGTCCCTTGCAACCACAGAAGGGTCTGCTCTATGTGTTTCGATGTATATTGGACCACTCTGTCCAATCTCCTTGGATTATATGCTTTATAAACCATATGGATAAATGATTATGACATAAATGTCACAATATGTGGGAGGCTTGTGGAGTGCAGAAGACATAATAACCTCAGGTTAAAGCAGGACTGGAGCCAGTCCTGAGGTGGTGCCCCAGCTTTATCTCCTGCAGGGGCTCTGGTGTGGGTGGCTTGGGGCAGAGTGCCAGTCTGTATTGGTAGAGGGACTTCCATCACTGAGAGTTCTTCATAAGGAATTACAGGTCTGGAAACATATCTTAAATTGGGAATAATGATAACATTTCCTTGATAGGGCTGTTGTGATAATGAAATGGAATCTGTAAAGCACTTTGCAGATTTTAAAAACATTGGAATTGCTGGCTCTTGATCTTGCATTATCCTTTTATTACTCTTTCTTTTCTTTGTCTGTCTGTCTTTTCCTTCCTTCCTTCCTCCTCTCCCTCCCTCCCTCCATTTCTTTTTAAAGTGTTGCGACTTACAGTTGAGCTGAAGCCCCTGGGTCATTGCCGATTCACTTCACATTGCATGTGAGGCCTGAAAGGACCTAGGCTCTCCACATGAATTAAATTTGAGAAAAGAAAATGAATCCCTGCCATTCCTGAGCCTAATCCTAACCCAAAGCTTTCAATGCCATTTGATGGTTTCACAAATGCCCTGCATTCCCAACTCACAGAGCCTTTGCCTTCTGTTTGATGTGCCAGAGTGGCATCTCTTTGAAAACTTATTTTATGGCCTTAACAGGCTTGTTTCTGTTGGATTTTTGTACCTCCTTCTGGCATTCTGGGCATGTCCCACCATGGAAAGCTTTCTTTTACTGCTCTCTTGAAAAGTTACATGGGCTTGGCTTTGTGTTGATCAGATAAAATAATGTTTCTAAAGCACTTTGAAAACCTTATAGCTAGTCTGAGATAAAGGATCCGTTATGGGATTTCAGACCATCCATCCCACTAACTCTAACTCCCACATTGTCCCCTCTTCTGTTAACTAAAAACCCTTTCTTCCACAGGCCTGGGAGTGCCAATTAGTGATCAGAATGTCAGGAGAATTGTCCTGTGGGGTGGGGGTGTTGTATGGAAGTTGGTGAGGGGACACATACAACTCTTCCTCACAAGGACTGTGAAGGTTAACCACAGTTTAATGAATTCCTCTGTCCAGTTGACTCAGATTCTGCACAAAGGCAGACTTCTTATCAGGACAGCTATTAGTAAGAATAAATGTGGACTCCAAAAATAACTGTGGCAGAAAAGGAAACTTTGGATTAATGGGCTGAGGCACCAAGGTTAACTTTTCCTGCAGCTTGTCTGTTGAATTGGATGAAGTGTGTCCTTGATTCCCCCCCTTTCCCAGCTGCTTTTTCTCATTAAGCCTTCAGAGTATAGCACAAGCCATTCCGTGCATCAGCAGGCATTTCATACTCTTCTTGTCCAGCTCTACCCTCTTACTGGTAATGAACCAGGCCCGAGAGCAGGAGCCTTTGCCCAGCATCTCACGGTCAGGATGTTTCAGAGACAGGACTTGGGAATTCCGTGACTGAGGCCAGCCCTCTAGCCAGTCCACCCCACAGTGCCTGCGCCTCTGGATGTCACATGGTATCGACAACTATTGAGACAGTTGTTTTCATATGGGTTCTTTTTAAGGGGCTGACAGTATCATGGCGCTTTTATCTAGGGCTCAATTTGCTAAAAACATGGAATTGAACTTGCCCATAGATGGGCTGTTCCCCCAGAGGTATGCTTTTGGGAATATCAGTGCTCATCAAATGCTCTCTGGATTGGATTGGAGTTCCATTCCTGTTCTCTGGTGTTTCTGCAGTGAGAAAGGTCCACTCATTGGAGGGAAAAACTTCGAAGTGATGAACCTGACTTAATCCTATTGTAATTAGCCTCTATACAGAGGTGAAGCAGACTGCCAGGTAGTATAAGAGGCAGCCTGTCCTGGTGGAGATTCCACATCAATGTGATTGTAGCTCTAAGGCTTCACCTAGGCGTCAGGGCATCACCTGACCAGAGTTTGGCCCTTTAGCAAAAAGATACTGAGGTTTACCAGGCTTGGTACTTATGGATTTCTGGCCAGGTTTAGTATTTGAAGCTTGTACTTAAGATAGGCACCACCTATGCTAACATAGTCCCTCTCTTCTTCCCGTTGTGTTTAGGGTAGAGAGGACTAAGCTAATTCTCAGGGGTTCGGATTACCCCTCTAAAGTAGGGCTTACCAAAAGGAGAGACCAGTGCCCGAGTCATCTGCTTCTCAGGGAACAGGCCTTGGAGGCTGCGCTCGGAGGTGGCTGTCTCTGCTCCTGTCCAAAGGCCCTCCCTGCTTAGAATGTTTCCAAGGAAGTTTGGAGGTGGAAGGAACCTTAAAAATGATCTAGTCCCAAAGCAGTGAAGTGTCTTCCCCAAGCTCAAATCTGAGTCCTCACCCTTGAATCCAGGCCTTTTGTTTGTTTTGTTTTTTCTCCTTTTTAACTCCCCCATGCAGTGTAGTTGGGCCAGGGGACAAGGGAGCTTTCTGCATCTCTGCGCCCAGTGTCTTACCTTTGAAAACAGTGCCGATTCTCAATTAATTAGCTCCCAGCATTAATTTTTAGCATGCATCCAAGACCCCATGGGGATATTAAATCTGGAGGGTAAGAGAGTTAGAGAATTTCAAAGTTAGGATTTTTGCTTTGGTCTTTGAAGGTTGGTTTGAGGGGAAAGTACAGAGGAGTGAATATTTGTTGCCAAAGAGATTTGGAGGTATCTACCCTGATCACTCTAAGTAGCATCACTTTTCAAAGAGGAGAGAAGACTTTTTCCTTCTGCCAAAGAGAGTATTTGTTTTTTTTTAATTAGCTTTAGTATTTACAAAGCTCTGGTATTTTTAAAAATGCTATCTGTTTTTAAAAGCAAGCACTGGGGGCAGTGTTCATATAATCCTCATCTCTGTTGCATTGTGTTTGGGGTAGAGATAGTGAGTTCTGTATTCCTAAGTTCTTAGCACACAGCAGGCTACTGGGCAGTGGGCATTTCACCTAATCTTTTGTGGGCCTGAGCGCTTTAGATGGTGACTGATGTTGGTGACCAAAGGCTTTCATATCCACCGAGGGTAGCCGACCCAGGGAGGTTCTGTATAGCAAGGTGATTCATGTAAGAGGTGATCCCTAAGGTCATTTGCAATTTAAAAAATCCTATATGGAAACATTCCAGCCCAAAGTATTAGTGAAGGAAACACAGTTGGACCCAGTCACTCTGAGGCATGGACTTACAGGCTTTTTGCCTCTGATGGTTTAGGGCATTATGAGAACCCTGTGGTGGGGTATGAATAGTGTGTGAGTGTGGTAGAGTGGGGATAATTAGAACTGAAATCAGCCTCCATCAGTCAGCACGTGAACATCATTCCCTGCTTCCAGGTAAGTCAAGCAAAAATAATAGGATTTGAGTCTTAATTGATTGGGAACATTTCACATAAGCACATGACCCAAGGTGGGTAGTGAGAATGGTTCCCCATACTACAAGGTAACAGTTATGGGAGAGAGTGTAGGTCAAGGCATTGGTGTGAGAAATCCAGCCCCAGTTCAGTAGCATGTCGTTAACATTCCATGTATAAGATGTACACCACCATACTGGGCCGTCTTGTTGGCTGTGGTTGTAAGGACACTGGCTACAGAGGTATCTCAGTGGTAGCTTAAAACTCTGATGCACTTAGCCACCAAGGAGGGAAGACATTTAACTCTGAATGCAGGGTCACTCCTAAAGCCAGTCCAGTACATGTAAACTTACATGGGCTTCTTTAATTGAGCTCCTCATAGAACTCGAACTATCCTTGACCCCACAGTTTGACCTCTACGCAACCTAACACCTACTGCTTGCATAAGGAAGCTTCATGTTTAGATGTCTTCAGGCCTCACTTTGACCTCTATGACCTGTACCATTGGCCTCCAGCATTCTTCCCATGCCTCTGATAGTCCCAGGTGCCAAGGACTATGGAAACTGTATATAGGTACACACAGTAGTTCCCTTAACATGACAGATCCCCAAAGTGTAACATTTTGGTGCTATTGAGACAGGGTGAGCTGGGCTGTGTGGCACCTATTTTCACTAGGATAAATGGGCAGTATGTGGCTCCATTTGTTTCTAGGTAACTGCCTCCTACTGGGAACTAACCACCTCCCAAAGCAGCTTATGCTATTTGGGGACAGTTGTACTCTCTGGCAGTTTCCACCTCCTTTCTTCTAGTTCTAGCCTTTGGGGCCAAGTAGAACAGGTCAGACACATGACAGATATTCCCATACATCAAGATACATCCTTCCTAAGTCTCATCTTCTTCAGGCCCCAGGTTCTACAAACGACCCTTGAGCACTGTCTTTGACCTTTTCGCCATCTTGGATACTAGAGCTTTTCAGTGTTCCTCTGAAATGTGGTACCCAGAAGTGACCTCAGTACTCCTGACTAGTCTGTTCAGGGCATAGTCCAGTGGGACCAGTACTTCCCATGTGCTGGGCACTATGCTTTCTTTGCCGTTTATGGGCTTCCTGAGCTTGAGTACTTCTGATCATTTGTACAGGAACTGCTGTCTAGACCTGTCTCCTGAGTCATATGTTGTCATTGACATGCAAACCCAAACTAGTTACTGTTATATTTGGTTTTATTTAGTCCTTCTCTTTCTTGTTTGTTTTTTCCTAACAACAATGCATTTTTTTTCTCCTTTCATTTTTTAATAAATGAATTCAATTATTTATTTTTAACATTGTTTTTTAAATTTGAGTTTTGAGTTCTCTCCCATCCTCCTATCCCTCCCTTCCCTACCCCATTGAGAAGGCAAGAAATGTGATATCAATTATACATGTGAAATCATGCAAAACATATTTCCATATGTTTTTCCGTGTTGTAAAAACAAAGCAAGATAAATAAAGAAAGTGAAAAAATTATGCTTCAATCTGTACTCAGGCTCCATTAGTTCTCTTTCAGGTGGTGGGGAGCATTTTTCATCATAAGTGCCAGGATTTTTCTGGAGAGGGAAGGCCTTTGAGGTCAGGAATTGTCTTTTTTGTTTTTGTGTCCCCAGTGTGTCTGGCCCAATGATGCTTGTTAAATCAGTTTGAATTTTTGCATTCTGTCTGTTTGTCTTAGTTAACCCTCCAATATTCTTGTTATCTGTAAATGCCACCTTTACTGTCATGTAAAGTCATGGATGGAAATGTTATATGGCCAGCTCCTTGTTGATCAAGCTCCTCTTTGTTTCTGGTCATTCATCCAGATCCAAATCCATTTTAACTTCCCTACTGTGTAGCCCAGTGGTTTCAAACTCACATAGAAATGGGAAGCCACTAATCTATGTGTAAGGATCCCTGTGGGATGCATGTGGACTTAATTTTATATTAACATTATTTATATGTTTGTAGTATTTATGTTTTGTTATATTTTTGTTTCTTTTGTTAAATATTCCCCACTTACATTTCAATCTGATTTGGCCATACTTGAGAGGATTTGTGGGCCGCATGTGACTTTCGGGCCACATGTCTTGACACCTCTGGTCTAGCCTATGTGGAAAAAGACTTTACTGGCATCTAGCTAAGCTGTGTCTGTAACATTCCCACGTTCTACTACTGATCTACTAATGTGGTCAAAAAGGAAATGAGATTAGTCAGTCATGACTACACATGATGATGAAACCATGTAAGCTTTAGTGATTTCTGCCTGTCATTTCTCTAGCAACAATGTGTTTCTTAAGGTCCCTTTTGGCTCTAACGCCTGTGACCCAGTGAACATGTTATTGAGCATCCAGTCAGACTAACTGCCCAAGAAGTATCTATTAAGGTCTCACGATGTGCCAGATACTAGGCTAAGTGCCGGGGGTGCAAATGAAGGCAAAAACCACAGTCCTTGCCCAGGGAAGACAGCATGCAAATAAATCTTCCTGTGAGACGTAGTATGAATGGAAGTTTTCTATGAGGGCTCTGGCAGGGGAATGAGGGAGGGGGGAGCCTCCTTTAGAAAGTAGGATCTGAGTTTATAGAGCTAACAAATTCCACTCTTTAAAAACGTTTTTGAAAACATCTTATTTAGTTCCAGTATTATATTGGTCATTTCTTAGTACTATGTGATAAAGAAACTGAGGCCAAGGAGATGAGGTGACTTGCCCAGGGACACACAGTTAAAAGTGGTGGTCCTGGGACTCAAATGTAGCACTGAGTCTTTTGACTTCCAAGTCTAGTGTTTTGCTTTGAAGAAGTACTGGAGAGGGACAACTGGACTTCCTAATGGGCTTCTTACTAATAAGAACTTGACTGGGAAAAGGTAACATTTTACTTCAGGATAGAACTATTTAACGTCAACATTTTCCACTTAACCCCATGACTGAGATGCTTTTTAAAATGTGGTCCTATGAGTAACGTTTGTTGGACTTTTTTTTTTTTAAACAGAAATATCTTCAGCTCTAACAAGTTCTTTCAATACCAGTAAAGCTCTTATTGGGTTCCTGAACCCAATGTACCAAACACATTTCCTCCGCAGCAGTTACAAAATCTGATATTTATGAGCCTGTTACTGTTAAACACTGATGTTTCCCTATTGCCTAGGGCTGTCCTTGCCTGGTTTTGATTTTGATATGAGTCACTACTCAATTCAGAACTTGTTAAAAGTACTACTACCGTCCCACCAGTGGCACAGTGTCAGAAATTTACATAAAGAAGACAGTGGTTTTTCTAAACTGCAAGTTATGAGGTAAAATGGATTTCCTCTCTCAGGTGTTTCCCCCATGCCATTCCCATTCCCATTTACCTTGAGCTGGCAGTTTTACCTATTGCCTGGAAGGTAGATAGTCACCTGTGGAATATCTGTTTCTTTCAGATACCAATATTATAATAAATAAATGCTATATCATCTTAAATGTCTGTCTTTTGACCCCACATCTCCAGGGAAAGTGGGTAGAGATTTTTATTCCCATTTTATAGAGATAAAGTTGAGAACCTGTTTCTCCTATGTCTTAGTCCAGTATCTTTCCTCATAGTAATGTTATGGATCATGGGATCGTAGATTTAGAGTGGGAAGGGACTTTATTTTTTTTATTTTTATTTTTCCAAATCTCTTTAATTTTTATTTTTTTTAAATTTTTTTTTCCATTTGCTTTTGAGTTGAAAATTTTTTCTCCCTTTTTCTCCCCCCACCCTCCCCAAGACGGTACACAATCTGACATAGGCTTTACATTTACATGAGAAGGAACTTTAGAGGTCATCTGGAGTAGCCCCCTCATGTTACAGAACAGAAGGATTCCGTGACACCTCCCCACTCCCCCCAAGTCACTTCTGGAGACCACATTTCAGAAGGGCATTGAAAATCTAGAACATCCAAGATGGTGAAGAGGCCCATGGTCAAGGGTTGTTTGAAGGACCTGGGGCCTGGAGAAGACAACACGGAGGAATGAATCTGGTTCCCTTGACATGTTGGAAGGGCTGTTATGTGTCAGACTCAGTCCTAAGGGGCAGACCTAACTGAAGTTAGTTAGTAAGTAGCATCCTTTAGTTTTGCAGCTCCTGGCCCTCATCCTCAGGGCACCTCTTTACGAGCAGCCCTTTCTTTTCCACACTACTTCCCATCACCTAAGCTATAGCTCCAGAGCTAGGCCTTTTAAACAAACTGGTCAAGCCAAATTCAAAACTGGGGCAAGTCTGGTTGAATTAGGAAATGCAAAGTGAATTAAGAGTGAGCACATTGGAGAGGGATGAATGTCCTTCAGCCCTTTTCTTCACTGCCAGCAAATACGAGAAAATATGTCTCTTGGGGAGTTTGGGAAGAGGCTGTTTTGGGGCAACCATCCATGGAATAGGATTGTAGTAGAAAGAACATTGGATTTGGAGGCAGTAAACCTGGTTTCCTCTCGTGTAGTCTCTGACATGCTATTTCCTCATTCTGGGCCTCACTTTCCTCATCTGTACAGTGAGGGGATTTATATGAGCTTGAAAGTCCCTTCTGGTTCTGTGATCCTTTACTCCAAAGAAGGGTCATTCTGGTTTAGATCTGTTAAGGTGAGGGAGGGTACGTCTTAAATTACTTCAGCCTCAACAGTTAGTCATATCCCCTATTAGAATAGTATGCTTCTTGTGAGTAGAGATTGCTTATTTTATTGTATTTGTCTCTCCAGCACCCCTGCTTTCTTGTGATAGTGGCCTGATGTGAGACTACTAACTGTGACTCTGTCTACATTTTTGGGAATCTGTTTTATGTTTTCAGACTTTTCTCTCCTGATTCCCTAACGTAGTGAGAAGAAGATTGGATTCAGAGGACATGGGTTCAAATCCTACCTGCTGACTGCTTAACCTCTCTGCGACTTAAGTCACTTAACTTCCCAGGGATTCCGTTTCCTCAGTGGTGAAGTTTGCATTAGAATTTGACTTCTAACCCTTTAGGACATCTCTTCCACCTCTGAATCCTATGACTTTTTTCCATGCCCCTTTTCACCTGCCAGCTAGGCTCTGTGATGGTATAGGGAAAAAGCCACCTATTTTAAGGGAAAGTCTCCTTAAAACAACTTCTGCCCCCAGGTAGAAGCCAAGTGCATGCCTTTTGGATTCCATGGTGGTCCCTTTTTATTTGTTGGCAGATGAGGAGACGCTTGAAAGCCCACTAGGCATAGAATCTAAGGACCTGGGTTGGAATCCAGGCTCTGCTATGGAATACCGTATGCTGTAACCTCTGCGCCTTTTTTCTTCATTTGTAAAAATTGAAGGCCTTGCAAAGTCCCTCCAAGCTCTTAAGGTCCTGAGAGCTGACTCTAGGGCTCCTCTGTCTGCAGTATTCTGGGAATGGGGCCTTTGTTCCAACTTATTTGGACCCTGAGAATCTCCTGCTTCTTTAAAATGGGCAAACATCCCTGCAGTTTGGGCTGTGGGCTGAGAGGTGAGCCCATCTGTTCTCAACCCCACCCTCCTAGCCCAGCATGAGTTAGGCTGCCCTTTCCTGGTAAGATGACCCTTTGGTGCTGCTGACGGCAGTTAGGGTAACTGATTCTCCCTGGGCCTCCTCCCCAGTACCTTGTCAGTTTGTGTTCTTTGGAGGCAGCACCACCTGAGCTGGGATTCTGTTGTTGGCATGCACTCCTTGGGCTCGATGTGAACTCCCTCCTCTGAGTGCTTTTCTGTAAGTCCCAGGGCCAGTTCTGTAACTGGGAGGAACCTTAGGGTCAGCTCGTTCAAACTAAAACAGCTGAGCGGGCCTGGAGTCAGGAAGACTTGAGTTCCGCTGTGACCTTGGGCAAGTCACTTAATCTCTGTCTGCCTCCGGTTCCTTAACTGTAAAATGGGGGTAATAATAGCACCTCCCTCCCAGGGTAGTCGGGAGGGTCAGATGAGAGAATGTTTGTAAAGCAGCAGTCTTTGTGCAGTGCCTGGCATGCAGCTTCTCCCTGCCCCCACCCCAATTTTGCAAATATTGAGAAAGGCTGAGTGGCTTGCCCTTTTGGAGTAAATGAAGGGGCCAGTATTTGAACCCAGGTCTTCTGCTGTTACCTCTAGACAGACTGTCTACAAAAGCTGTGATCCAGGATCTGAGCCATCCCTACCCTTGTGTCGCCCAGTGCTGAGCTTCACCACCATGGGGCAGGGGGAGGCAGTGTATTGGACTGCAGCCTGCATGGTCGGCCAGGTGGTCTGAAGAGAGGGGGTGGCCCACCAAGTTATTGGGACGTGGCTGTGGTACCGACATCGATGCCAGGAGTCTGCCTCACCTGGCACTTCTGCTACATGGGAGCAGAGGTGGCAGCCAGGCTTGAGCATGAGACCTCTCAGTCAGCTCTTGTTGTTAAACAAGTTCAGAGTCAAGGTTGTTGAGCCATAGACATCTAAGAAAGGGGGGGAAAAGTCATGGAGAGAACAAGTTCAAAATTTGGTTCTGTGCCCTTATTTGATGCCCACCATGTGCAGAACTCTGTTGGGCTGCTGGGAAGGAAGGGAGGGGGGCCTGGTGTCAGAAAGACAAGAGGTGGCCCAGCCCATCGGCAGCTTCTGGTCTGGACTTAGGAGGGGGGATAAGACACAAATTCAGATAAGGCCCAGGGGTAGGTGACTGGGGGGAGTTGTCTCCTTTTTGGAGAGGTGACATTTGAATTAGGCTTTAAAGAAATAAAAATCAAGTGAAGAAGGAAAAGACATTCCAAACCTGAGCAACACCCTACCCTCCCAACCCCTCCAAAAAAGCTCAGGAGAAATAATCTGAGCAGCAGGAAGTAGGAGCAGAGAAAGAGATTGCCATGCAAGATTTCAGGTGCCGAGTGAAGCAAGCAGTCTGGCTAGGTACCAGATAGTGGGGACTGGGCTATGCTGACCTTTTGCTAATCTAGCCCCAGGATCCCACCTCTAACTGCAGTGTGCCTGCACTCGTAGGTTTGATGTAAGTTGGGAGCATGTGGCTGGCAGACAGAGCCAGGGATGGGCAATTCTTTAGAGCCTAGAACTAGGCAGAGGTTTGGATAGGTCATTGAGTGTGTGTTGGCGGGGGGAGTTACGTTCCCACCAGGCCTGATGGAAACTGTATCTTTGCATGGTTTGGGTTGACTTCTGTGGTGCCTTCTGCTTTCTCTTCTCCCACTTAGAGGCTATTGGCAGGGGCCTGGCGATCAGCCCCTAATGTTGACATTGAACAAATTATTTCCCCTCCCAGGGCCTCAGTTACCTCATCTGTAAAATGAGGGATTTGGACCAGCAGCATTCTTTTTCACTTCTCAGATCACCTAAATACTCTGAATTGTTTTGAAATAACAGATGTGCCAACCTATTCCTGTGAAGAGTTCGTGGTTTCCTAAGCTTTCTGGTAAAAGGTAAATGTGGGAGGTGCATTTTAGGTACCACCTTTAGGCTTAACTACTTGATAGATGTAAGGTCTAATGCAGTTCAAAGTGTTGTGGTTACGGTAATTGAAGATTTTGAAATAGAGCATGTCTTAACTTCATTCCAGCATTTGCCTCCCTTCTGGGTTCAAAGGGATATGAGTATTATTTTAGGCTTAAAGTTAAATAATGATGACCAGGAATTCACAAAGTACAGGATGTCCCATAAGTCTTAGGGCAGTTTCCAGCTTGTTAAGCTTGCAGGGCCAGTGAGCCAGTCACTCAAAAGCCACACTAAGAGTAGGAACAGACTCTGGCAATCCACCAAGCATTTACAAAGACCAGATGAAAGCCAGGCCCTGCCCTCATAGAGCTTACATTCTACTGAGTGGAAACAACCTGGAGCCAGAGAGGTAAATGCAGCATAGTCTGTGGGAGGGAATGCTGAGAACCAGGGGAATCAGAAAAGATGGGACCCAAGAGTAAACCTCAAAAAGGGTTAAGTGAGCCCCAAGCTGAGCCTGGACCGACATTAGGGATCCCAAGAGGCAGGAGTGAGAAGGAGAACAGCCGGGCTTGAGGGATGGCCTCTGCAAAGATGCCAAGGGAGGGCTTCAGGGAATAGCACAGGAGGCCAGGGTGGCAGGGTGGAGAGCACGGGGAAGGCTTGCAGATGTCAAACTGAAGCCATTCTTTTTTCTTTTAGTTTACCAAAGACATGCACAGTAAACCTCTCATCTTGTCCTTCAGCATCCTTGTGAAGTAGGTTGGGAGGAAATTAGCCCCATTTTACAGGTAAAGAAACTAGTCCTTACTCAAGGTCATGTCTGCAAGCCTAGGTCTCTGCTCAGGTCACCACCTATTAGTGAAAAGAAATGACTGAAACACTAGGAAGCCTTTCATTCTTCCTTAGGTAGCCTTTCCAGGAATTGGGGTGCCTTTTCTCTTTTGGGCTAAACTCACTTCCTTTAAACTGCATTCTCAGTTGCAGGCTGCTGCTTCTTGCTCAGGATCAGGAAGTCAGCCCACATGGAGATGAATGAAACAAGTGGAAAATAGGATTAAATCTCTGAATCATTTAGGAGCAGAAATTGTATTGGTATGGTAGAAAGATTGCTAGAGAGATGGATTCAAATTCTGGTTCTTAATAACTCTGACCTTGAGCAATTCACCTGAGCCTCACTTTCCTCATCTGTAAAGTGGAGATAATAAAACTTCTCAGGGTTGGTGAGCATTTTACCTTCTCTTGCTCAGCCCAGACCTTCTAAGACGCTGTCAGGCTCCCTCCCCAAGCACCCCAAGTGGGCTAGGCATTTGCCTGGCACGGGGATGGAGACTGAAGGGAATTGACTTGTCCCAGGTCTCACAGCTATGGAAGTGGTAGGAAGTGAAGCAGACAGAATCCCCTGGCTACCCTACCAAGAACCAAGCTGGAAAAGACACAGTCTGCCAAGACAGAGAGCCTCTTGATGGCCGTTTGACCACGTCTGGCCTCCTAGTAGTCTCTCTACGGTTTGCTGTCCAATATTTAAAAAATTATAAAGTCCCGCGAATGGCAAGTCTGTGTTTGATGTACCCTAAAAATAACCAGATAGTACCCACTTGGGCCTTCATTTTCCCCTTCTTCACCAGCTGGCTTCAGCTTTGTAATGTGGTTTTTTAAACTATGTACACCTTTAATAATTCCCCATACCAGAGGAAGGAAAAAAGGGTTCGCTGACTGAAATCTTGCTGTCCTTCAACGAGTCTGGTGCTGGCCGTTGTCTTTGTCTCTTTTGCCCTCCGAGCACTCTGGGGCCTCTGATGTGCTGGTGAACCATTTGATGGGATTCTTTTTTGCATCTTGCTTTGGTGTGGTATGGAGTTTAGATCAGGCCACTGAAACAACTCCCTTATTGTTCCCCAGATTGACTGCTGGTCACTGTGGGCAGGAGGCCTGGTCTCTATTTATCTCCACCTCTAAAATTGGGTGTGGTTCCCCCCCCCCCCCGCCCCATACACACACACTATTTCAGGTGCTGAGGTTTCTCTTAGCAATAGAAGAGATGGTGAGCAGAATACAGGGGGCAGGGGAAGGGGTCCATTCATTCTTGAACTTAAGAAACCTTCATATACAACAGGGTAAGGATTCCAGGCTCAAAAGTGTTGGCCAGAGAGGCTTTGAACATTGCAGTGGAATAGGAGGAAATCAACTGGTTTGGGTTTCACTTGACCAGATGTGGTGCCTAGGATGTTAATAATATGAGGGTCATAAGATTTAGAGCTAGGATGCATCTTTTAAAAAATCATCTAGGGGGCAGCTAGGTGGCGCGTGGGTAGAGCACCAACCCTGGAGTCAGGAGGACCTGAGTTCAAATCTGGCCTCAGACACATAACACTAGCTGTGTGACTCTGGGCAAGTCACTTAACCCCGATTGCCTCACCCAAGGGAAAAAAATATATAAAATTAAAAAATCATCTAGGCCAACCTCTCCCTTTACAGATAAGGAAACTGAGGCCCACAGAGGGGAAGGGACTTCATCGGGGTCACACAGCTGTTTATCAGCAAAACCAGGCCCCAGAGCTTGGATCTCATGCTCCCTGCTCACATAACAAAATTTGAGACATCCAGTATGTACACGTTGGAATGTATCGAATTCCTCGGGACTCAGAGAGCTGACTCAGCAGCCAGTTGGGCAGCTGTTATTAAAAGCTTCAAAAGGGGCAGTTTGTAAAATCAGACATTTCATCTACATTATCTTGAGTATCAGCCAAACCCTGTGGCTATTCCTGTTCATGTGAAAGGAAGTCAAATCACTCAGTGCTCTCTGCTGCAGGGTGATTGGCAGAAAAAAGCTAGTTTGGGCCAGGCAGGAGCAACGTTACAGGTACCTGGCTCTCTTTGGCTGTGTCGGGCTCGAGAAGCAAAGCCAGTGATTGAGTCTTCTCAGTTAGTTTTTGTTATCTTTATGAACTGTCCATTTATTTTGCAAAGTAAGGGGAGAGGACACAAGGCCCTTCCAACTTTATTCTCAGTGAGGCTTCTTATGGATTGAAGAATAGTTAGCACCCCTTTCTCTTTCCTCCCCTCCTGCCACATTCATTTATTCACATTTGTGCTAGTGAAGGCTGCTAAAAGCACAGCAAGATGCCCACCTAGTGAGGAGGCAGAACCTAGCACCTGGTTAAGTGAGGTGACAGAATAGAAGGGTCATTGGCATTATCTGACCAAGTGCCATGAGAGCATGGTGTCGTGTGACCTGCGGAGACTTTTTCACTGTTGCAGTTATTGGGAAGCCCTTCCTGTGTGGTGAGTCTTTCCCTTCCTGAAATAGCAGCCTTGAGCAGGGCTAAGTCAGACAGTAGAAGCTAGCTGTGTTCTGTGCTGAGCATTCATGTGCCCCACAGTGCTCTGCTTTTCGGGGAGGTCATTGATGGAAAAGTGGAAAGCCCACTGGTGACTGAGGAGAAGCAAGGCCTTTACTGACCTTTACTAATGACTTGGGCAGATCACTGAACTTTGGGGTCTTACTCTGAATAGCACCCCCACCCAGGTATAGCTAGCCTCACACCTGATTGTCTCAGACTCATAGTAGATACAGGTTTCCCACTGGTTTCAAACCAGCCCTCATTGTGAGTTAGCATAAACTCATGTGGATATCAGGCTGGCCCTAGCTCTGCTTCCTGCTTCATCCTAGCTATCTTATCATCTCATCTGCTTGTAAAAATATGTGTTACCCCCCCCCATTTCCATCCCTTGGTCCTCTCAGTGACTCCACTCTCCATCCCCCTGACTTTTCAGACAGAAACATCCCCCTCTCTGGGTGCTGCTTGCTCCCTTATGTGTTGTTTCCCCCCTTAGAATGTAAGCTCCTTGAGGGCAGAGGCTGTCTGGATTTTCATTTATGTAGAGCTTGGCACACAGGGAGTGCTTTACTAGTTTTTATAATTCATTCATTCCAACAAGACGGCATTGCATTAGCTGGAAAATAAACACGAGCATAGAAAAGTGAGAAGCACTTTTTGCCAGGGATCCCAAGTGAAAATATAAACACATTCACATAGTGAAAAGGAAACAGTTCCATCTGAGATGTTAGGATGCTGTGGGGCAGGGACAAGAGGAAATCCCAGGACCAGTGCCTCAGACATTTCTGGATGCTCAGAAAAGCATGAGGTTTTTAACAATTGGTGTTTTGGACAGTCTGGCACAGAGATGTTCTTAATTCTGTTGTACTTTTCCATCTAATAAAACTACAGAAGCTGCCTAGGGGAGTCAAAGAATTGGTACTGTTTGGAGAGAAGTATTCTCAATAGACTTATCATGGTATTGGTGATAGGGAGGGTAAGGGTAAAGACACAGTGGAGATCTGAGTAGGGGCAACATGTGGGGTACCCCCGCCCAGGGTTCCAGGTCACTACGATTGCCAATTACCTTGAGGTCAGGGGCTGCTCTTCCTTGAATGGCAGAACTAGGGGTCAGCTGCTTGTTGTTGTTGTTTTTTATGAGGAGGAGGTTGAACGTCCACCCCAATAGGGCCTTTCTTTCCAGGACGACTCCCAGAAATTAGGTAGACAGCCGTTACGCTGTCTGATTGTTTGCTTTAAGGATGACTGAGCAAAATATACTCTTGGGCTCAGCTCCTGCCTGGGTTTGATAGTTTTTTGCTTCTGGCTAAAGTGATGAGGTGTGGTCCTTGACAGATAAAACTGAGGCACTTTCTATTTGTCTTCATAACAGGATGTGGATAAGGAGTTTTTTATTAAAAAAAAAAAGTTATAAAATTGCATATGTGGGGAGTAGGGAGGCAGCACAGTTCAAATTTGTTCAGTTATTTCCATATAACCCTGGGGGAGTTGGTTATCTGTCCACGATGACTCAGTTTTATCTCCTGCTCCAGCTGTCAGAATTTGTAGCCACATTTTATCTAGAAGTATGGGCTTGGGGGCAGTCTTTAGAGGGCAGCCCCCACTGGATCTGTTGTGCTGTTGCACTGAATTCTGGGACTTGTAGTTTCTAGGGGTCCAGACATACTGTAGAAGCAGTATGAATGAATGATGCAATATTCCCACTCTCTTGCTCTGTGAGTCACTGAGCGCATTTCCTGAGTAGAATACTTAGGGAAATTTGAGACAATCTCTAGGGGATCCCACCACAACACACACCCTCACTCAGTCTGGAAAAAGAGTCTCACTTCCTTTCCTCAGAACCTTTATGGCTGTTACTGATGAGAAGAAATGACACTAGTGCGGTGATCTAACTCCACACTCGGGCAGAAGAAAAACGCAGGAGAGCATTTTTTTTGAGGTGGAAGCCTAAGGGAGATTTCTTTCCCTTCCAGCCTTTCTTCTTTCCTCTTACTTCTCTTCTCTGTTGCTGGTTAATAGCCTAGCTGAGCAGAACTCAGCCAGAGCTTGTTACTCCACCCAAATGTGAAAGCTTCGTTTCCTCAAAGGTACACAGAGCTTGACCCTGGCCTTTGGTTACAGCCTGACAGACACTGAATGAGCCGAGGGAGCCCAAGAATGTGTGAGGAGAGATGGGGACAACCCTGAGTGGGCCGGCCCAACAGGAGGCCTGGGCTTCCCTCCGGGGCAGAGGAGATGGATCTCTTTTACAGTTTTAAACAATTCAAGTAGTTTTTTTTCCCTTCTCTCCTTAGCGCTTCTTGTGGGAGGTGACTAAGAGCCCTCGTGTCCTGCACATCAGGTTCTGACCTACAGGTGTGGGCTGTACTTGACAAGGGACAGATCCATACTGGGATAGGAATGTGATATGGCCGGCTATACTGTTTGTATAGTCGGAAGACTTTTTACTTTGAAGGGAGGCCCATGTGGCATGGTGAAAAGAACATTGGATTTGGAAGGAGAAAACCTAGGTTTGGGTCCTGACTTCCCAAAAGAGCATTTGGAGGAAAAGGAGTCTCTTTAAGGAAATTGTCTAACAGAGACTCCAATACTTACTACCTGTGCGATCTTAAGCTATTTTAACGAGCGTTTATTTCAAAATAACCATGAACTGTGTTCACTCTTTACGTGATGTGACACTTCTGCGTACTGGGGGATACAGAAAAAGAACCAAAATAATCTTTGGCCGCAGAAAGCTGCGTTCTCTTTGGAATCCATAGAGAGACTTCTGGAAGGGGACAGAGCACTGACTTCTGGGCACAGAGGGGAGTGGGATGGCGTGGAGCCATCACAGGACTGGAGTTACCTGAACTGAGGTCCAGACAATAGAATTTTTGAGGCAGAGAGGAAGAATGCGTTTTAGGCATGTGGGGAGGCGTAAGGGGGGCAGTAGGGGGCTCTCTGCAGACTCCTGGAGGCGGAAGATGGAATTTTTAGTTCTTCCAACAGCTAAGAACCCTGTTTGGCTGGAATGTAGAGTGGGTGAAGGAGAGTGATATGAAATAAAGCTGGAAACATAGGTTGGCACTGGCTCAGGACTTTGGATTTTATCCTAGAGGCAATAGGGAAACCATTGAAGGCTTTTGAATGGGGAAATATGGTCAGACCTGTCTGAGCCTTGGGAGGCTCAGATTTGTAGCTGGGTAGCGTTAGAGTGGAGAGGGTACACCCTGGAAACAGGAAGACCATGGGTAAGGTGATGAGAGTTTAGAGTGGTGCGGTGGCCTTGGCAGCTAGGTGGTGCATGGGCCTGGAGTCAGGAAGATTCTGCTTTCTGAATTAAAATTTGGTCTCAGACACTTGCTAGCTGTGTGACCCTGGGTGAGTCACTTAACCCTGTTTGCCTCAGTTTCCTCATATGTAAAATGAGCCAGAGAAGGACATGGCAGATTGCTCCAGTGTCATTCTGGTACACCTGTGGTTAGAGATTGGTGACGGAGCAGCGGAGACTTTTCATATAGGTAGAACCAAGAGAACACTGCCATGGACCTGGAGAGTATGTCTTAGAAGAGAAGAAGGCCGTCATCAGGGGAAGACGCAGGGAGGCCATTGAGGACAAGGAGTGGGAAGATGCTGTCGTTTGGAAGTTATACAAGTCAGCAGCTTGGGAGAGCAGAGTTTTCAGTAGAATGATGTGCTTGGAAGCCTGAGTTTACTTTTAAGTAAAAAAGCGTAGCTAGAAAGGAAAGTCAATTTAAAAATAATTTTAAAAATTGTTTTATGCCACCTAAATTTCTATCTTTATCCCTCTTTCCCACCCCCTATGAGAGCCATTCCAAAGAATATATTTTTTTAAAGAACAAAAGAAAAAGGAATAAAAAAAGCTTTTGTTTTTGGCCTGTTGTATCATACTCATAGATTTATATTAGGTTTACAGTCTACTAAAATACCCAGATCTTTCTCAAACTTTCTGCCCATGCCTCTCTTATCTTGAATTTTTTCAACACAAGCATTCAGAATTTTTTGCCTTTATCCATAGTGATTTTCATACAAAATTTGGCTTTTTCTTATAATGGGGCAAGGTCTTTTTGAAGTAAGGCTCTGTTGTCTAAAATCATAACATTCTCTCTCTCTTGCCCTCCCCCTCTCTCTTCTCTCTCTCTCTTTCCCCCCATCCTCTGTCTTCTCTCTCCCTCTCTCTTCTCTCTCTCCTCTTTCTTCTCTCTCTCTCCCCCTCTCTCTCTTCTCTCTCTTCCCCCCATCTCTCTTCCTCTGTCTGTCTCTTCTCTATCTCTTTCCCCCCTCTCTCTCCTCTCTCTCTCTCTCCCCTCTTTCTTCTCTCTCCCTCTGTCTCTGTCTCTCTCTCTTTCTCCCCTCTCTCTTCTCTCTCCCTCTGTCTCTCTCTTCTCTCTCTCTCTTTCCCCCCTCTTTCTCCTCTCTCTTTTTCTTCTTTCTTCTCTCTCCCTCTGTCTCTGTCTCTCTCTCTCTCTCCTCTCTTCTCTCTCCTCTCTTCTCTCTCCCTCGGTCTCTGTCTCTTCCCGCCCTCCAGCTTCAAATTGGATAAGCATTTGCTATATGTGAGTATGCATCTGAATAACCACCACAAAAGGGAGAGTGAGGTTAACCGGCTGTGACAGTTTCTTGGTGTAGCCGTGTGGTTCTTTGTGATCATGCCATCCTTCCCTAGATGTTGGCTGACTCTTGTTTTCAGTAGTTGTAGAATTTGGCCGGACAGTGAAGCCAAGTTCACTGACCAGTGGAATTGGCAGATTCCTATCTCTTCCCTTTTCTAACATTTGGGATGTTTCCCCTTTCCCAGTCCTGTAGGGCCTGTCTCACTCTCTCTGATCTTCCTGAGGTCACTGACAGTGCCTCAGCAATCCCATCTGGATGGTTCTTTCAGTACCTTTAGGGTTCATCAGGCCCTGGACAGCATGTTATGTTCTCTTACTGTCTCCCTATTTATCTTGGATTTCAAGCCCCAAGTAACCATCTGGGTTGTGACCTTTTCTCTCCAAAGATGATTCATCTTTGAGGTGGAGCAGCCCGGCCTTCTCTGTTGTCATTATCATGAGCCCAGCCATGCCAAGCATCCGTGCTCGCTATGGTCTTCCCCCTTTTTCCTCTAGCCCCAGTATATATGCTAAGCTTCATTTACTTTTGGTTCCTACTAGACTTGGCCACACTTTGGGCCTGTGATAGCAATGCTCGGAGCAGAGGCGCAGGCCTGGGCAGGAGGGCCTGGCTCCTGGCTTGGAGTGGCAGTCAGCAGCGGCTCCACGAGATGTTGGGAGGGCCCCATGAGGCTGTTGGCTGCAGGGATGGAAATGAGGAATGGGGCAAGAACAAAACCCCGGCACCGGTGGAGGGGTTGTGAGGCCAGGATTATGGGCACCGCTGCTTTGAGGTGTGCTGTGCCTGGTGGCCGCTGAATGCCAGCACCACAGTTGGGAGGCGGGCTGATTTTTACTGTGTGTTTTCTTTACACCAGAGACTTTGTTACTGCGGCAATGGAAACTAACCTTTTTTTGTTTCTGTCCTTCCCCTCCCCAGTGTTACTTACAGCGGTGAATTGTTACAGCGTGAAGGCCGCTACTCGGGTCCAGGATGCGTTTGCTGCAGCAAAACTGCTGGCTTTGGCCTTGATCATTCTTCTTGGCTTCATTCAAATTGGAAAGGGTAAGTACAGCCCTGCTTTTATTTATTGATCTTTTCTGTTTCTTACATTACCACAGTATCATATGTACCCCTCTCCCCTTGGCCCCTCCATGAGAGCTGTCCCATAGGACAGAGCCCCTCTTTGAAAAATGAAGACTCCTTTTCATGAGTGGATATCTACAATGTTGCCCTTCCTTTGGAAGCAGTAAAGCATAGATGGGGGCATGAACATGGTCAGAATTCAAATTCAAAGGAATATTTTTAAAACTGACTGTGTAAAGCCATGTCCTGAGTTTTATTTTGGTGGGGTGGTGGTGAAGGTGACGTGGTCTGTGCTCTAGAGGAGCTGACTCCTAATGAGGAATACGGCATGTACACATACAAGTCTGATAAAAGTTGATGGTGGTGGTGATGATGCTCCAAGAAAACCCTTTCAGCTTCTTCCCGGGATCAGAAAAGGAGGGTTTCTTGTTGGAGGTGGGAACCCAGGGCACAAAAGGCAGCGATGTGAAACGAGAGTGTTGAAGGCTGGAAATGCCAGGCTGCCGAGGCACTTGGCATAGGGCTGTTTGTTGGTCTGTTGCAGGTAGACATTCCAGTCCTGCAGTCCCAGCTGGAGAGGCCAGGCGCACACACACTGCCAGCCCGTGCTGCAGGCCGAGAGTGTGTATGGGGGGGTGGCAGCTCAGAAGAGAGCGAGATCACTGGGCTGGTCACAGGGCTTCATGGAGTATTTGATCCTTGCAGGACAAGTGTGATTCAAATAGGGATTAAGGAGAAGGGAGGACATTGTGGCAAAGGAGTTTGTGACCCAGTCCAAAACTTTCATTTTACAGATGAGTGACTTTCTAAAAATCACAGTGATAACAGTAACTCTGCTTTAATTTAGACTTTATTTATGATTTAAGTGCTTTTCTAAAGCACTTTTGTCCAAACATGCTCAGTGAGGTAGGTAGGGTAAGTATTTCCCCATAACATGGGAGTCTAAGAAAGGGACTTATAGGGGCTGCTGGGTGGTGCTGTGGATAGAGCACCAGTCCTGGAGTCAGGAAGACCTGAGTTCAAATTCAGCCTCAGACACTTACTAGCTCTGTGACCTTGGGCAAGTCACTTAACCCTAATTGCCTCCCCAAAAACACAAAACAGAAAGGGAACATAGAGGCTATCTGAGTCCAACCCCTTCTTTTACAGATGAGATTGAGAGAAGTGAATAGATTTGGGTGGTCACAGCTAGTGATAATGACAGTGGGTTTTTGTACTCCTAACTCTTATTTCTTGGTAGAGGAAGCTGGAAATGTCCAGGTAGTTGGGGCTGGTTATGGACTTTGAGGATTAAGTGCTATCAGGGAGCAGAGAGCCAATGATGGTTGTCATCTGATGTGACTGTTGTCATAGATGGACAAAGCTCTGAGACTGAGGGCGGCTAACCCCAGCGTCATACATCTAGTAAGTCTCTGAAATGAGATTCAGACTCATCTTATCAACTCACTTGAAATGCACCATGCTTCCTGCCTTTGTTTAGTGACGTCATTAGTAGATACCACTTGAATGCACTTCTGTACTTGAGGAAGAGTCTATTGGTCTAATCCAGCTCTCTGTACTTTTGGAAATATTGGTCTGAAGAGTCATGTGAAGAGTCCATTTGCATTGACTTGTCATCTGCTATGATCACATCAACACCAGGTAAAAACTTCATTGGAAAAGAATTTTATTCAAGTGCGTATGTTTCTGTAGAAAAGACTGCCATGCTCCTCTCCTTTCCCATCTTAATTCTTGCCCGACCTTTTAGAAAAATTGCTGTTTCTGTAGAATTCCTCCTTCAAAGATTTCTGAAATAAATACCTCCTGCCCCAGTTTTTGAAAGTTCTGCCCCCCTTTCTCCATTCTTTGCATTTTGTATACTCCCCATATTGCTTGTTGAACTTGCTCTCCCTTCACAAGCTGAATTCCTATGTCAGTCTAATTTGATCATTGTGTTGATAACCAGCTAGAGAATCCAAAATCTACCCCAGGCAGAGTGAAATAAACGTGTTTGTTGTATTTTGATCAGATGTGATTTGTTAACTACACCTTGCACATAGAAGAATGTGACCTACAGCATTACCATCTCTGGGCCCGAACTTTCCTGTTTCCCTTGGCCTCCTGTCTTTTAGTCTAGCCTGAAAAGAGCCTTAAAAGCCTTGCTGCACCTTGGTCCTGGAGAGCTCCTCTCTCTTCCCTTATGCACAGGTCTGTGAATCCCAGGAATCCTCAGTCCAGGCTAAACCAAAGAGTTTTCCTGGGGGACACTGATGTCAGGTCATCTTTCTTCCTTATGGCATCTTTAGCCAAGCGTAATTTGAATGCGTCTTAGTGGGAGGCATAGCAGGCCCCCCAGCGTCCATGTCTAAGGAGCCACAGGTTGCATCACACTAGATAGTGTGGAACCATGGCCTAGGGACAGACACTCCTCTCTTTGACCAGGGTCCTCCCTGATGACAAGTGGACTGGCCGTTCAGCCTGGCTTTGTTTTTTAGAACAAACTAACCTGTTTGTGAAATTCTGTGTTATGTAGTTACAAAATAGAACAGCCCAAAACAGCTACTCCCTTCCCCATCCGAGAGGCCTTTTATTTCATCGTTTTGTTTGATTCTTTTGCATGAAGAATAGATTAGTGTGCCTGGAACAGGGAATTCCATTTGGGGAGACAGGAGATTCTGGAGCAACTTCATTGTTTGGCTGGATTTTATTCCAAGGGACTGTCTTCATGTAGGTAGCAGAAGGATCTGTGACCTCAGCCAGGTTCTGGCAGTCTTCCAGATCCAGTTCCTCGGCTTCAAAATAAAGTGATCCCTTCAAATTTCTTCTCACTAAGTTTTGTGAAGGTTTGATTTATTATACTTAGTAATACAACATCAGCCATTCTGATTTCCCTTGTAATGACTAAAGACTATTGTGGAATGTTGTGGCACCCTTTTTACCCCCATTTGAAGCTAGTGGAGGATGACTGTCTGTGGTTCTTTTCTTTCACTTTTTCTGTGAACGTTGGATGGCCTCCTGTTCATAAACTGTAGGTCCTAGCTGATATTTTCCTAGAGTTTACCCCTGAGTCTTTGCAGTAAAGAGTACCCATGGATGCTCTTCTTCTGTAGTCTGGGGGCAGTGTCCCAGCCGGGCCTTTTGCCAGCCTTTCTGCGGTTGATATGTAGGACAGCTGACTTAAGGGACAAGAGATGGTTGGAGGGAGGGCTTTTGTGCAGGAGCTCTTTTGCCTTCTGAGCATGTGGATGAGAGTAGATGCTGTGAGGACTTCTGTTTCATGCAGGGGGGGGAAGAATTTGGTTGGTTGTAGTTTTTGTGTATGTGTGTTGTTCAGTCCTGGTTTGATTTTAGAACAAAGGGGCCTATCACAGGAGGAGCAATCATGGCTCCTGGGCCCACTGAACCTGACCATTGGCTAATAACCATTGTTGTAGGAAAACACGTGCCAAGCTGAATATACTTCTCCAATAATTTGGCTGCCTTGAACTGCGGGGGAAGTGGAAGGGGTGGTTAGTTCCCATGACACTTTGTTTCGTGGGTGAGTGAAATTCAATAGCTTTTCATGGTATTGGTCTTCTCATTTCTTGCTTCTGCCCTCACTTTCTGGGTTAGTGCCCCTGCCTCCCAAGTTTGTGTTTACATAGACCATAAACAGAACTAAGAGATTTCTACTGGCTACATTGTTGCTTCTTGAAGATGTGAAGACTTCCTTTTCAAGCCTGTTCTCTTTGAGATCCAAACACAGTAGAAATTTGTCATTAATGAACCAAATCCTCTGTTTTGTCCCCACCATTAGGAAGCTCAATGTCAGCTCTCTCCATCCTTGGGAATGAATTTCTAGACTCATACCCATGGCTCTGACCCCTAGAGATGTTTGGTGAGAATTGCACGAATGTGAGTCTTCCATCACTGAGAGATGGAGCTGTGTTTCATTTCATCTCTAAGGTTCCTTCCAGCTTTAAACCAGTGATGCTATGGTCTTGCATCTCAGTTTTGATATTTTTAAGAAAGCTTTGAAGTTTCCCAATAAAAGAAGGCCTTTATCTGTAATATCTATCCCCAACTTATTGTTAACGATCTTGGAGTGTTAGAGTAGGAAGAAGAACTTGGAGATGTCTAGTCCAGCCCTAAGTTCCAGAGAGTGGGAAATAAAAGAGTTATGGTATCCTAACTAAGTCTTATAAGATTCTGGGATTTAGAGTTGGAAGGTATCTTCATTTCGGATGAGTAAACTGCAGTCCAGAGATGAAATGGCCTGCCATCATACACCTTATCAGTATCAAGGAAACAGGAACATTTCATGACTACTCACGTTGATGCTGTAGAGGCCTTCTTCCCTGACATTTGGAGAAGCCAGATGGTTCTTCCCAAATATTTCTAGTGGAACAGAAATAACTTTAAGTGTAGCATGGTGAATTACAGGTGGCCCTAGGGCTAGAAACCAAGCAGTAGCTTTTAGGCTGGGAAGGAGGGCAGGCTTTGACTTCAAAGCAAAACTGCTGGTTGCCTTCACAAAGCTTCTCAGAGCATTGCTTGCCTTTGTATCATTTGGTCCAGTCAGCTTCTTCCAAGGCTCCAAGAGAGGAACTCGCCCATGTTCAGTACAAACTCGGCCTCAGGAGCCCCGAAACCAAGGCCAGAGCTTTCTGTGGAATTGCACTCTGCTCCTCTCCTATTGTCCACTCTTGACTGGCATGTGTTTGGTGACGGTGAGTTTTCCGGAGGCAAGCTTTTCTATTGAAGTCTCTACCCTGGTAACATTGTCAGGGGAGGAGAGACTCAGTCCTGTCACTAGTTAGAGAGGATAGTGTGTGATGAAGAGTTACATTAAATAGAACCTAGCATCTGTGTCTCTAGAGTACTGCAGTGGGATATGGAGTCAGAGGAGTCAGGAGAATTCCGAAGCCACACTGGTGGGGAGAAGCTGAAAGGTTGGTGTCTGTTGGCCAGGCAAGCTTCTTTGGGTATAGGATCTGAGCCTTAAGAACGATTTCATGGTC